CCAACCCACTCTCCCTCTATGCTCCCAGTATCACCACTCACACCACTGGTCCTGAAGGGATCATCTGCCCTGGATTCCCTGTGTTTACAGTTCCTATCTGTACCAGTGTACATCCTCTGGTCTAGCCAGACGAAGTGTCGAGGGGACCAGGTATAAGGCTTCATCAGGACAAAAAATCTTACCATATTGAATGAGAGGGGAGTGTGGAGTGGAGACCCAAAGCCCCTTTGTAGGCTACTGGAGATCCCTTTGCAGACGAGTCTCGGGGAGGAGACAAGTCAGGGTGTGATGTAGCAATGATTAAAAAATATATAACTTTCCTCTAGACCTCCAATTCTTTAGACTTCAGCCAATGGCCCACCGTAGTCCCTGCTGACGTTGCGAGCCATGAGCTGCCATCACCCGAGTCATCGTCTGGCATGTAAACCTTGAATTCATTGGAATCTGTAATTAGAAGTGTCTGACCTTGGATTCCTCCATTTCTGCAGCCACCAGCTGGTTATCTGCTTTTGTCTTTCTGCTTCCTGCTTGAGCAGCCCCATCCCTGTGTGAGCTCAGAGAAACCTCTCGCATCATAGCTCACCTACAAACTTCAGCTGGGCTGTGCTTTCCTTCTTCTGAAATTGTGTCCACTATTCGCTCCAAGTAGATCTCTTTATAAATGCCTCTCTCGCACTCAGTTTACTTCTCGGAAGACCCCACCCGAACACAAGGTTCAAACAAAAGTGTGTTTATCCCTATCTACATCAGTCATTAATGATTCAGATGTGCTGGGTCAAAACACAAAAGAAAAGTCAGAGAAAATGTAAAATCGATTGCTTTTTAATTTACAAATGACTTGAAATAGTGCTACAATAATATTTTATTTTTAATCCTAAAATTTAATGTTAGTGGAAAGCAAGTTATCACTAAGCTATAAGGATATCACATATATCTCATAGGCAGAACGATGCAGCTATATACCCTTGAAACAGCCTAGGGAATAAGACTGAATCACTCAAAATAATAGTCACAAAACTGATATCCTTGATGGAAGGTGCCATCAGTCGTTCAAGTCTATCAATTCCAGATTAATATTCTTTCATGATTAGGACCATCCTCTAGCTGCAATGCTCCTGACATCGAATAGTGACTTATTGGACTGGAGAGCTTGGAGAAAATGGACAGGAATACCTCAGCCCTGTCCTCTCCTATGCTCTCAAAGAGCTGTGATCACCTCTGATGCCCCAGGCTGTGGATGGACACTTTCCCCTTTCAGTGCTAAGTAGGCCTGGGTGGGAACTGCTATTTAACTCTGGGGTGTAGTTGTCAGAAACTTACTCAGAATGATATTGAGAGCCCTGTGTACTTTGTACATTATTTTATTTCTCGATACCCTCTGAATTGTCTGATTGCTCCGTTGATTAATAATCAGGAATAAAAAGTGGTGCTATCCGGTCCCATCCGATGAGCCACAGTAGCAGGAAACAAACTTGAACATCTGGGTATGCAAAGCAAACTAGGGCCAAGGATACCCCCTGTCAATTTCACACTGCAGTGGCTTTCCTGTTGCTATGGGGTTGGGAGGGGCTCCAGTGCTATTTTAAATACCACAGAGGCGAGTTTTGAGCAAAAGTTCTAAACTAAGACAGGCTAGCAGCAAAGGAGGGATGCTCTTCTTCAGAAAATTAGCCAACGAAAACCCTCTGGATGCCTGGGGATGATTGTACAGCTTCCATGCTTCCAACACATCATCAGGAGGGATCACATGCTGGATTAGGACAGCAACTGCAGAAGGGAGGCCAGCGAGGGAGAGAATACACTCTATGGGCTAGACTGGCGCGTTGGCTACAAGGTTGGACTCAAACATGCGGGATACTATAAGGAGAACTTGGGACCCAGAATTAATTTGTTCTATTGTACTTAAGGTCATCATGAGTTACAGTTGACTCGATGGAAGTTCTATTTATTCCTCTCTGTGTGTGTACATCACTATTCAGCAATAGAGAAGTAGTTAGGAAACACCCCGAAAGTACTTCTATCTGATGGCTGAAAGTCGGTCAGTGTACCATGAGATCGATCAAGTACTGGCAGAAGGAGTAAATTTGTACTTGAACTATAGTTGCCTAGAATAACAAATTATCCAGTGAAGATATTTGCATACAAAGTTAAATTATATACAAGATGAGTTATGTTAGAAGTCAGATTTATAATTTAGGAAAAATGACTCTGTAAAACAGTTAAAATGATAAAACTCTGTTTTTTGGCACTTCACAGCCTCAGGAGGGGCATTCGTATCTTGGTTCCAAGTGTGATTTTCAGTAATGGAACAGATTCATTTGGGAATATAGGTCATATGCATATATTTTGTGTGTAATAAAGTCCTTACTGTATTGAAGTCATTATTATTATTATTATTATTCCATTTCACTATCGTGGACCAAATCATTTTCAATCCAAGCAAGATACATGAAGTTTAATGTGCTTCACTTTTTTTTTTTTAAGGGTAAACATCCTGACCACTAGGCGAAGCAGTTCTTCTTTCTTGGGTCTTCTACGCGTAACCGTCAGGTCTGCTAGTCACTCAGGAGTCAAGAAGAGAGCAGACAATAGTCACACAGATGCCAACACAGACACGTTGGTGATGCAATTAGTCAGAAAAAGACATAGTCAACCCTTTTGACCATCTTCATTAACTGAACATCAACTTCACATTCATTCCTTCAGAGTTTCCAAGTATAAATGAAATTCTATTTGGAATCTACATAGAGAAATTCCAATTTTTAAGATCCAATGGCATTATTGGTAATATGAATCTTATGCCGATTCTGCCGTTGTGCAGTAATGAATTCAGTATTCAAAGTGAAAACATTTTAGGTACTTGAATTTCACATGTCTTCACTTTATAACTTACTAGACCTTATCTTCTTTATATTTATTCCCTCGGGGAAATTTTACCAAAAAAGAAGTGTTGTGTGAAAAAATCCCTATACCATCAGCATCATGATAACTTGCTGACTAAAATATCAGGGATTTCAAAAATAATCTCATCTGATATAATTCTAATTCCTTTTAAAAAATGGGGGTTTGTAAATTGTTTTTTTTAAACTATTCTAAGGTTATTCAGATTTGAAAGGTCTCTCTGTGACTCAGAAAATTGGTCTGCAAATCGGAAGCACGTTAAGCTTTTTTTGAATTGGAATGAGTCAGAAGTATAGTGAATTCTCCAGCTCTTCTTTGCCCTTTAAGGTTGTACACCTTTGCCCTCACTTTGATTAAACAGATCCCTTCTAGCAAGAAATTGATCATCACAATCATCTTTATTTGCTGCTCTTGCAGATTTTAAATCATTGAAAGGGCTTTGAGCCTTTTCTTGCACTAAACCAAATCCCAAACCAAACGCATGATCATCAAGTCTGTTCACACTCAGAGCGCTAGAGAACAGAGGAGAACTGCTCCCCCATTGAATGCCTGAGGTCCTCGCTCTTTACAGGAGCCAGAGAGCCTGGCCTGTCTCCCAGGGAATGGTCAATGGCTTCAAACTGCTCTCCTGGCAGTGAGCAGCCCAACTGGTAACCCACAGGGCTCCTTCTTGCATTACAATAGGGTTCACTCAGAACCTGTTCCTCTTTACCCCAAAACCCCATGGACAGGCATCTGTAGATGCCATCCATAACCCATGGGCTACCTAGATGTCGAATAACGTCTGCCTGGCACTTCATGCCACCTAACAACTTTTCCTATGGATCCACATTCTTATCCAATTGCTCATTAAAGACTGTTAAGGGGTAAGAATATCACCTTTAGTTCATTAAATTTGTAATCAATCTAGGCAACTCATTGAAAATAGAAATAACTAATGTATTTTTTAACAGAACTGTGAATAATTTTATACATGATTAGTTTGGTAGACTGAGCATTTCAATATCATTTTTTGAATTATCATTATACTTCAAAGAAAATACAAAATTAATCGATACAAGAAATATTAACAAAATCAAGACGCCGCACTAGCCAGCATGGTAATAAATTCTGATATGTATGCAATGCGATTTTATATGTGGACATTTTAATGAGAATTTTAATGTCCCTTTGCCCTTGAAATCTTCTGAGATGTCTACATTTATTTAAGAATAAATGCTAGTTAGTTCTAATATTTTCTAGGAAATCCCCAGAAGCAGCACGTTTCACGAACTAGGTTAAGAATCTATATGGATAATCAAAGGCTTCGGAAAAGGTTTCATTCAAAGGCAAGAAGGTGTGTGAAGTTTTCTGAAGTGATTTTGCTTTCAGTGGTCTGTTCTGGGGTGACAAGAATATTGAAAAAGCATTCCATTCACAAAATGCCCCGCAGAGCTATAATTTTTAGATAGTCAAATAGCCCTGAAAAGCTACTACTTAAAGATGATTAAGGCTAGTATCCAAAATAATTCCATAGAGACCCTTTGTCAAATAATACACAAAAATAAGAAAAGAAAATAATATGGATCTTAAATATGTCAAATGCATCAAATAAGTTATGAAAGAAACATGGAATACTCAGATAATTGGAGTGCTTTTGATATTCTTGGGTTTTCTATGGTTTCAATTTTTGATGGCTCCTGGTACAGAGCTATACCTTCAGTATAGATAGACCATGTGGGCATAGCTATGCATGAAAGGTAATTCACTCGTGGATTTTGAGTAGTATGTGCAAAGGTGGACCTAAAACCATAGAGAAAAATAAGTACTTTAAATTAAATCACCTATTAAAAAGAAATGTTTTCTTTTATGGGTCATACTGCATCACAAAATATCTTTGACAGTTCTGCATTTAAATTGGAGATGATAGTGTCCCATCACCACTTACCTGATGTGTTCATCTTGAGAGTGAAGGCAACAATTCATGGTATTCACCAGAAAGCTAAACAAACGACTGTACAGGGACTTGGCCAGCAGATCTCGGTAAAATCCAGCAGTCTCTACAGTATGCCGACGTGTAATCATATCTCCTGAAACAGCAGAGAAGGAGGAGGACACGCCAGCATAACGATTGTTTCGTTTAGAAGCGAGTCAAGTTAGCCACATTCTACTTGTCCTTCAGTCATGCACACACTATCAAAGGCTCATAAAAATAATCATTATGAGTCTGTGCCTTTTCTGTCAGTGTTGATGAGAACTTTATCCTAACAGGAGTGTTATTTCTATTTCAATCCTATTCATTACAAACACTGGCCACCGTCTTTACTTTCATGTCGGTGAAATGGTTTCTTGTCAGTTGGTAAACAACTTTCAGCAGGACCCCGTGAGCAAATTTTCTGAAAACAGTTAGCCTGTTTGGACATGAAACCTCTCAATCCATTTGGAGACGTAGTCATCTCGTGACCGCAATATAGGTGGGAGGGTTAGAATCAAGATCGGATCATAAGGTAGAGTTTTTACATCATCCTCAAAGAAGTGGCAATTGCAATCTCAAGTAATCAGACATCTTTAGAGATGAAGCCAAGGACATTCAAAAGAAAAGATTGAGCATGGTTTGGAACAGACAGAGAGAAATGTGTGAGGAAATGAGAGCCCGGATGTGAGGGAGGTCTTTGCTGACCTGGCTTAGCCCAGCATCTCAATCTGAGCAAGGAATAAGGATTGTGTGACAAGAAAGCGGAGTCAGTTAGTTGTTCACCAGTTGGAGAAAAAGACTTTCTGCTGAAGGGCAGCTAAGCAAGGAGGTAATGCTCACAGTTCAAAGTCACCACGGTGGTTTAATACGAGGTGGCAGTAAAAGCGGTATATGGCCCCACATACACAGAAAATCAAGAACCTAGCATCGAAATAATCGAGACGTTTCAATGTGTCATAAACAAATTAGTTTTGTGAGCGGCTAAGCGGGAAAGTTAACACAAGCTCAGCAGAACTGAACTATGACCTTGACTATATACTCCTGATATTTTAAGAACATCTGAATTGATGAATTCAACAACAGTGTCAGAAGACCTGACGAGCTTGGGGGGGGGGGGACACCAAGAACATCTGACATTGAAGAAAGCACAAGGTCATCACAAAGACAGGCGAGAAAGAGTGAGTCAAAGTCAATGTCAGAAGAGACAGGAACGTGCTCTCTATCATAGTTCCTAAGGCATATGGAAGAAATGATAAGGTCAAAGGGCTGAACAGGAAATTTCAAAGGGCAGCTCAACAAGGCAAAGTAACGTATTATATGAAATATGCAGATTTGAACACCAAAAAGTACAACACTCTCAGAATATCTTAAACTGAAAAAAAACCCTAAGAGGTAATATTTAAGCTTTCAGTTGCAATATTGAAAAATTCTATGGACAAAACTATTTAATGATGCAGAAATCACCAGCAGAAGATAGAAAAAATACATTCCACACCATAATTTGTACACAAAATGTACTTCTTCCAAGACGGATCAGTGTGTCCTTTCAGCAGTCCATGCATGTCCAATATCCAGCTTCAGCCCCATGATTTGATTATTTAATTGCGCAACTAATCAGAGAAGCTGTACTATAAGAAGAAGTGGAGAAAGTCTTATGAACAACTGCTATGTGCAGACAACACCCCTTTGCTTGAACGTGAAGAGGACTTACAGCACTTGCTGATGAAGATCAAGCACTTCGGCCTTCCGTGTGGATTACAACTCAGCATAAGGAAGGCCCAAATCCTCTCCACTGGACCGATAAGTAACATCACGATAAATGGAGAAAAGATTCAAGGTGTCAAGAATTTCGGTTTGCTTGACTACACAATCAGTGTTCATGGAAGCAGCAGCCGAGAGATCAAACAATGCGTTCCGATGAGTCAGTCTTCCACCCAGACCTCTTTGAAGCGCTGGAAAGCAAGGTGGCACTTGAGGACGTAGGTGCTCCCGATCCGAGCCATGACATCTTCTATCGCCTCATACGCACGTTCAAGTTCGACGCCGAATAAGGAAGGCTGAAGAAGAATTGCTGCGTATGAATTCTCATGCTGGCAAAGACCAAACCCTGCCACAGGCTGACTGCGAAGCGAACACACTCAGCGGTCTTGGAAGCAACGCAAACAAAATCCTCCTTAAAAGCAAGGGGGACAGTTTTTTTCCCCGACATGTGATCCAGAGAGACCTTTCTCTGGATAAGCAGCGCATGTGTAGCAAAGTGGAGGGGCAGCAACAGATAAGGCTTTGACTAGATGGACTGACTCCGTAGCTGCAACAAGGGACTCAAGCGTCAGGACCCGATGAGCATGCAGCAGGGCCAGGATGCTACCTCTGTGGTGCACCGGGGTGGCTATGAGTCACAGCCAGTTTGATGGCATCTAACAATGACAGCAAGGGGACAAAGGGATGTTTAAATGGGATTGCTAGCATCCATTAGTGAGGTTTCATTTTCCTCAAAGGAATGAAAAAGCAGAATGTGTTTTATTTGGAAAACTTCGGGAAGCTAAGTAGTATTAGGTGCAAGAGTGCTGGTGGAGAAATGACTGTAGATGAAACATAGAGAGGAACGAGGGCCCCAATCATAAAGTACATGCTATTGTTGTCCGTGGCTGGTTCCGGCTATTAAGCGATCCAAGGCTGTAGAGTTGAAGGGTGGCAAGGCTGTGGCCTTTGGGAAGCAGACCCTGCCCTCTTTGAAGATATCTCTTCATGCATTCGAACCACCAACCTTTCAGCTAGCAGTGGAGTGCTTCACTCTTTGTGGTACCCAGGAGCAACTAAATGATGCGGGATGCCATCCTAACATGAGGACATCACAACATCACATCATCCCTTTACTCTAAAGGAATCAGAATATCTTTGGTAGGCTATGTTCAGAGACGAAAATCATATATTTAATTCAGAAAGATACTTCCTGAAGCATTGTGTAAGAAAGGTGAAATGAGTAAGACCACAAAAAAACAAAACAAAACTAAAGAAAAATAGTCTTGAGGCCCTTCCTATGTTCCAGGAAATGAATGGTAAACTGAGGCAAAGGTAATTGTAATGAACAGAAGGCAGTACTTGTGTGTGATCTTGATGGGACAGATTTGACATGTATATGTATGTATCTGATGGAAGTACCAAGAATGAGTCCCAGGCAACTGAGTAGATAAAGGAGAGATTAAATTAGGAAACTCGGAATGGACATTATGAGAACAGGGATGCGGTGAAATGTATAAGCCACAGATCTATGATCCTGCAGGGGAATCCAGTAGGGAGAGTAGGTAAGAGAAGTTAGAGAAAATGATTAGCAGCTATATGGTGAGCCCTCCAAAATACGACACACAGTAGTGTGGGTTAGGGCAATGATTTCTAATGAATATGTGATGAGCATGCAGATGAATCACTTTCCCTGCCCACTCCGGAGAGAAGCATAGAGCCGGGGATTAAGCCTGTGAGTCGGGGACTCAGGTAGCTTTAGATTCTAAGTCCAACCACCTGGTTTGCTAGGGATTCAGCATGCCATGTTATTTAGACTCTTTGGATCTTAACTTTCTCATTAGTGGAAACGGAAATCCTTCTGCCCACTTCATAGTGATCGGTGAGAAGTAATAAGTATAACATCTATAGCGTTTGGCAGAATGCCCATCAAGTTAAAAATCTCCAGTCCCCTAGCGGTTATGAAGATGAATGGAGTCGCAAGAGGAGGCTAGCTCTTTATTGAAGAAGGCATTATGGGTGCAGCACGCAGCTGCACATACAAGTAGAACCAACTGTCTGCTGAATACATCCTCTTGGATTGATGGCTTTGTTTTTTTAGTGACTGAGAAAGTAGACAAGCAACTTCAACCCCTGGCTACATGCTTCTCACCCCAAAGGTAACCAGTTCATCAAACTGACTTCTCAAGGATACACATTGTTTACCTTCAGGGTTCACATCAGGCAGGTTAATGATTTTAAATTTTCATTGGACATTGAGTTCATTAAAAAAAAGTTACCTGACTGGAAAGAGTAAGACAAGCTCTATTTAATTCCCATATGTTAGGGAATCTAAAAGACAGTGGTGAAAATGAGAGGAAAGGAAAATTTACCTTTAAGGTACTGAATATCTGTGGTTAAAGCCGAGGCCAATTCATCGGTTGATACTTGTAACTTCCCAGCTACTGAAGTTAAAGAATGATGGGAAATGTAAAGTTAGTGCATGTTTTTGACAGCCAGAACATTGTACTTTATGATCACACTTTATAACATTTAGTGTATTAGAGAAACATAAACCACTGCTGTCATTGCCAAACTCAAAATGGAAATGAGCTCTTGGGGGTCTGTCATGGAATCACCCAGGTCATTTTACACCGCTCAGACTGTTTCTCGCAATTCGTGGCTACATGAATTTGATATCAGGCATATGTTGTTTATTGACCGTCCGTGGTTTGAAGGTATTTTGAAGAAATCTGGGAGCGACTAACAAGAAAACTTCAAAGGAAAAAGAGATTTGGGGCAAGGCCTTTATCTTATATGTAGTTTTAAATGTTCAGTTAATAACAAACTCCCCCAAAATATACAAGGTCACAGGTGTGGGAGTAGAGAATATTTAGTACAATATAAATAAACCCAAGTAAATGATGATTTAATACTGTCAATGCATTTTATGATATTATAAGGTAAATGCACATCTTCATTATGCTTGTGACAATTTATAATAAAAGAGTGAAGTGGATACAGGTGTTTTTGTTTTGTTTTGTTTCTCCCCTTAAACGGAAAAGGTTTATTCCTTCTGACTGTTCTGTAGTATGTCTCCATCTACTGGCCACTTTACAAACTGCACATCAAGGAGGTTAATGCCATAAGGTCTTGTTCTACTGACCTTGTTCCAGAAGCTGTAGGTCAGACACAAATGCTGAGTCAGCGTCTGTCAGAGCCGTGAAGCGAATGTCACCAATGTGTAGTATTGCTGCTAGAATCACAAACAGATTTTCCACCTCCTACATGTTTTACAAATAGAGAAAGTGAATAGGATTGCTATGAAAGGCAAAAACAG